CTCTGATGTCTCGTGGCGGGATGAGGGTGGAGGAGGTTCTCACGTGAACTCATGTCAGTCTAGGTCTTGACTCACTGTTGGAATCTGTCTTCAATTTCCACTCTCACTACTTCACTTGAGCCATCCCTCCTATCACCCTGCTCCTATTCAACTAAGCTCTTAGCTTCAGCACCTTCTGCGCCTTTGATTATAACAGTGTTGTAGCTTCTCTGTGTGGGGGATGCAAGGTTCCTGCTTCCAAGGCTCTGATTCCTTTTCATCAGCACTTAATGGATTGCTGGGTGAATCCATTCATCCAACACCCCATTGGTTTTGATATCTAAGAGAGCCAGTCATGCTGGCGTTCTTGGCATTATCACAGGATAGAAGTAAGTAAAATAAAGCGATGGATTCCATCGTTTAATTTTGTCCCACAGATTACACCTGCTGAGAAAGGTTCCATGGGGTTGTTGCTTGCGGTTTGTCACCCTTCGGTTTATATGCAGCCTTTTTTTTGTATTTAATTTTTTTAATGTTTTATTTATTTCTGAGAGAGAGAGAGAGAGAGAGGCACTGTGAGCAAGGGAGGGTCAGAGAGAGAGGGAGCATAGAATCTGAAACAGGCTCCAGGCTCTGAGCTAGCTGTTAGCCACAGAGCCCGACATGGGGCTTGAACCCATGAACCCTGAGATCATGACCTGAGCCAAGTCGGACACTTTACCGACTAAGCCACCCAGGCACCCCAATATGCAGCCTTTTTTTTAAGCAGCCACTAAGACTTGTTTATGGATTGTTCCAAGAAACGCTCTCCATAGTGCACCCAGAAGCACGATTTCTTACTTTTTTCCATTAAAATCTTTTCTAATGTTTATTTATTTTTGAAAGACACACACACACACACACACACACACACACACACGAGTGGGGAGGGGTAGCGGGAGAGGGAGACACAGAATCCTTAACAGGCTCCCGGCTCTGAGCTGTTAGCACGGAGCCCAATACAGGACTTGCATCCATGAACTGTGAGATCATGATCTGAGCCAAAGTCAGATGCTCAACTGACTGAGCTACCCAGGTGCCCCATGATTTCTCATGATTTCAGAACTCTTAAGGTCTGATGTGGACTTTTGTTTCTATTGTGTCAACCCTACTTCTTCCTTTCTCTTGAAATATTACATGCTGACTAAATAACTCTAAGCAGTTTAGACCTTGAAAATATACCAAGTCATGCTGTTTTATTTAGGAGGTTACATTTGGGGCCTCGGGTGAGGTAGATGAGTATCCTTTGAACTGCCGATAATTGGGGAAGGAAATAAAGTAGACTTTGGGACTAGAATGTAAGCTTTGTGAAGGCAGGGATTATTTTCTGTTCATTCTTCAATTTCGAGTTTCTAGAATAGTGCCTGGCTTTTACCAAGTGCTCAGTAAGTATCTGTTGAATGAATGCTGAATAAATGGTGAATCATCAAAGGGGAGAGGGAGAGTACTTATTGTCTTAGAGATCAAAGATGGAAATATGGGAAGCTAGACATCAGTTCTGAAGGTCATTAAGAAGGTTGGAGAGAGGCAGATAAATTGCTCTTGATCTCATGGAGACAAGCAAGGATGAGCTCATCCACTTTGAGCTGAATGCAGTGGCAGAGCAAATAATAATGGCAGCCCCAATGTGGTGAAGCCCCAGATTCTTAAGGACAAACCTTTATTTACTCTCACCTTGCTAGCAAATGATAAGAAGACATGAGACTGACCTTGTGGAGTAGAATAAAGTAGTGTTACATCTGCCTCCCCATCTCAGTGGAGACCTAGTACTGGGTACATTGTGTGGCTCATGGTAGACTCTTCTCTAATCTTGTCCACCTGTCCTATGGATGAGTCTCACAAAAATATCCATTAGTATATGTGGATGTAGGCTGTGAGACCTTGAGCTGTGGCAATGGACTCAAGGCCACTCATCTCCTGTAACCATGGCAGATTACACGAGACAATGGCTTGACATGAGACATGAGACAATTACAAAGAGACAATGGCTTGCTCCCAGAAGCAATACACCTTCCTCTCAAACCAATATTGGTGAGCATGTCTCAGTCACTGCTACATACAGGCGACGTGTGTGAGGGACCCTATAGGCCAGTGACAATAACAATAGCCAAGGAGAAAAAGGTTTCCTGGCACACTGGACAGCTTGTACATACTCTTTCCACAACGTGATCGTAATCCTTTGGACCAGAGCCAAAAAAGCAATGCTGAAATTCTTGGAGTGATTATTGAAGAGGAGGAGCAAGAAGAAAAGAAAGTAAAAAAATACGTGTTTTTTTTTTTTAGCAACATAGATAGATGCTATATAATCTCAGAGTCATTCACTGTTAATATTAGAAACAATTTATGCCCAAGATGATGATTCAGAACCTATTAAGTGTTCGATGAATTCTCCTACTTGGTCCCTGCAGTCTTCAGTTAACCTCCCTGTAGTTCAGCCATCTGCCATTCTACATCAGAATCCCATTATTGAACACAGTTCAGATTTTCATCCTTCCCTAGAGACCCTTTGGCACCCACTTAAATCATTGGATACAAGAGGTAGTTGGGGTAGAGCGTTGGGGCTACAGTTAATGGCTCCAAAACCGCTATCCTCATGTACTTGCCTGCATACTGTAGGCAGTTATGTGCTTCAACCCCTGTAGTAGTTCAATCTGTGAATTAAGAAAAGATGGTGAACCCTCACTTCTTCAAGGGAGGAGGCAGACGCTTAGTAGGGCTCAATGACTTGCCTGAGATCATTCAAATAATATTTCCAAGGCAACATCTGAGCCCAGGTTTTCTGACTCCAACCCAGTGCTGCTTCGTCTCTTTGGGCTGCTCCTTTGGATCCCTTCTCAAACCCATGAAGCTGACTGGGTTATCCTTGGGTTTCACTCTTACTCCCGGTAGCTCTTCACCCTCTTTCTGGGGCCAGAGTTCCAAGATGTACTTCCTGCTGAGTTACTTGGCTCTCCCATATGTTGGAACAGAAAAATGACACACCTTTTAGAATCTTTTCTGACACAGGCAAGGCCAGCTTCATTAACCTACAACCTGCACTGTAGGCTGGATCCTGTGCAGAGATCCCCATGCTTGGCCTAATGATCTTCAGTCTCTGTCTTGAAATTCTTCTTCTTTTTCTTTTTTAAAAAAATGTTTAATGTTTATTTATTTTTGAGAGAGACCGAGACTGGGGAGGGGCAGAGAGAGAGGGAGACAGAATCTGAAGAAGGCTCCAGGCTTTCCGCTGTCAGCACAGAGCCTGATGCAGGGCTCAAACCCATGAATGGTGAGGTCATGACCTGAGCCGAAGTTGGATGCTTAACCAACTGAACCACCCAGGCACCCCTCTATCTTAAAATTCTGAATCATCTTTCAAAAAAGAGGCCCTACAACTTTACTTTGCACTGTGCTCTGCAAATTAGGTAGCTGATCCTTTTTTCAAGCTTATGACTTTGGTTACATTTCTTAACTTCTTGGGACCTCAGTTTTCTTATCTGTAAATCAGAAACAATGTAACTCTGCATGTCTTAAAGTCTTGTGCGGAAGAAATCAGATATAACAGCAAATTGGGTAACAGAGCTTTTGTGCATGTGTGGGCCTCAACAAATCTTAACTTCTTGACATCTAATCCAGGAGGGAAACCTGTTCATTAACGTCTTACTAAGTTAGCATTCAAAGGTTGGTTGTATGTATGCAGAGTTTAGTTTTGTGCTGGATGATATAATCATTTTGATTTTTCTGTTGTGAGATTAGATTAACTATGAAGTGAAAGGGCTCCCTCCTTTTTCACCCAAAAGCAACTAGTTCAGCCAAAGTGCAGACTTGGTAAGGAGAATGATGAGGGAAGCGCTGTAAGAGAAGCAATCAGTCAGTCCTCATTATTGCCAGGTCACCACCAGGAGCTCTCATGCTTCTCGGAGCAGCACGGCACTTGATCAGCTGTAGCTGGCGGCCAAGGTGAATGGTCAGAAAAAAATGTAGAGAATGCAGGAACTAAGGTTTAATGATACTTTTAAAACTTTATGCCTAGCACTGATCTAGCTGGTTCAGATATAATATCTCCTTTAATCTTCCTAAAAACCCCATGAAGTAGATAACGTTAGTAGCATTGTATAGCTGAAGAAACTAAGCTCATAGAGTATTTACAGTTGTAGAGAATGGATACCCTAGGATTACCCTAGAATGGATAATGTTTGGAGTGCATATTATTTGAGGACATAGCTAGATGGGAAAATAAAGATTATGTGGTGGCAAATGGGTTTCATCTCATGACATAAATTTAATCTGTTGGTAAGGCTGGTAAGAAGGATTATAGGATTCTACATGGACTGAGTGAGATCAATTAGCAGTGTCTGCTTTGGGCTCTGGAAGAGTGGTGTAAGGCAGATATTCAACACCTTTGGTCTAGTCTCCTCATTTTACAGAATACATCATGACCAAGAAGTTAATATTATCATACTTTATAGTGTAAACTACTGCCCAAGCTAGCTTTCAATCCTGAAGTCACTGATACTTACAGCAAGGCTGTTTTACCAAACAAGCAACAGACAAATAGCAAAAAGCAAAATAAAACAAAAAGGAATGTATTCATTGACATTCCTCGCATCAATAAAGTCTTAGAGCTTAGAGGACTCTTTTTAAGATCCATAAAATCATAACAGAAAGAGCATTTCAAACTTTAGTATGCTTCCATAAGTGCTAGAACCTTTTAAAACACAAGTTGCTGGATCCTACCTACAGAATTTCTGAGTCAGTAAGTCTGGAGTGAGGCCCAAGAATCTGCATTTCTAGCATATTCCTAAATGAGGCTGATGATCTGGTCTGGGGACTATGCTTTGAGGGCTCCCTTTAGTCACTTTGACTTGACCGTTTTTTGGATTCCTCTTAAAATGAATTATTCAAATATGTAGTTTTTATGAATTTTTGAGACTCCATCTGTCACTCTCATGGGATTTGTTAATAAGTTATGAAAATTATCTCAAGAGTTTTTCATTTAGTGGTTGCTTCAGCAGCATGTCCAGTAAAATTGGAACAATACAGAGAAGACCAGCATGACCCCTATGCAAGGATGACATGCAGATTCTTGAGGCGTTCCATATTTTTTGGAACCCTCATACACCGTTGGCAGGAATTGAAAATCATGCAGCTACTATGAAAAACAGTTATGGAGATTCCTCAAAAATTAAACATAGAAGTACCATATGATCCCCCTTCTGGGTATATATCCAAAATGATTCAACATAGGATCTCAAAGAGATATTTGCATATCCAAGTGCATTGCAGCTTGACTCCCAATAGCCAAATGGTAGAAGTAATCCAAATATCCATGGACAGATGCATGGGTAAAGAAAATGTGATATACACGTGCAATGGGATATTATTCAGCTAAAAAAAAAAAAGGAAATCCTGCCACATGCCACAACATGGATGAATCTTGAGGATATTATGCTAAGTGAAATAAGCAGTCACAAAAAGGCACATATATGATCCCATTTATATGAGGTATCTAAAATAGTCAAACTCATAGGAACAGAAAATAAGATGGTTTCCAAGGGATGAAAGGGGAAGGAAACAAGGAGTCAGTGTTCAATGGGTATAGAGTTCCAGGTTTGCAGGATGAAAATGTTCTAGAGATCTGTTGCAAAGCAATAGAAATATATCCAACACTCTGAGCTGTGCATTTACAAGTGGTTGATGTGGTAAATTTTATATGTGTATTTTACCACAATTAAAGAAAAAAATGTTCATTTAAAGATAACACTTTACCTGAAGGGCACAATAATTCTTTTTTTTTTAATGTTTTATTTATTTCTGATTTTATTTATTTCTGAGAGAGAGAGACAGCATGAGCAGGGGAGGGTCAGAGAGAGAGGGAGACACAGAATCTGAAACAGGCTCCAGGCTCTGAGTTGTCAGCACAGAGCCCAATGTAGGGCTCAAACCCACAATCCACGAGATTATAACCTGAGCTGAAGTCAGACACTTAACCGACTGGGACACCCAGGCGTCCCCCAATAATTCTTAGTTGTAGAGCTGTCTAGAGGGAAGTGGAGAGGCTCTTTGTGGCTACTCAAATATCAGCTGGGTACTTATTCTGGGTCTGGTGTTAGCAAGCTCCCCGTTATTGCAGGCTATGGATTCCCAACCTCTCCTACATGACTCTTCAGAGTATTGGTACCTAAGTCTAACCCAGAGATTCTAATTTGGCTGTGACATGACCTGGATGTTAAGAATTTTCAAAGCTCCCTTGCTGGATGGTTTGAATGGTTACAGCCAAGGCTATATATAAATCATTGTTTGGATCAGTGATTCATAAATTATAAAAAGTTAAAAAAGGATCTCTTTGGAGCTCTGACAAGCTGTATGTGCTCAATACTCCTACATTCTGTTCCTCACTGAACCAGGTAATTCTGATTATTGTCCCCCTCCTCAACCAATTTGAGAAATGTAACATTAGATGATTTCTAATGCCTCTTTGAGATAAAAATATGTCCATGATTACTGCTTTCTTTGGTAGGATTCTCCTGATCAATGGATTGGGCTAAATCTTCCATTTGAACTGAGAGTTGAGTTCCTCATCAACTAGATTTGCACATGGTTCCTACTGTGGTTGGTGGGACAGCCTTAGTTTCGGCTGCATGTGTACACATTACCCAGCTATCCTTTTAAATCCTCAGTCAAACCACATACTCTAAACACCATATGGGCTTAAAGTCAACTTGTTGGGGGCAGCTGGTGCTCAGCTGGTTAAGCATCTGACTCGACTTCAGCTCAGGTCATGATCTCATGGTCTGTGAGTTCAAGCCCTGTGTTGGGCTCTGTGCTGCCAGCATGAAGCCTGCTTGGCATTCTCTCTCTCCTTCTCTCTCTCTCTCTCTCCCCCTCCCCTATTGTCTCTCTTTCTCAAAATAAATAAATAAATTTAGATCAACTTGTCGAAGTATAACAAAATTCTCTTCTTTTGCTCACACATTGTTTGTCAGGCTATGAATAATTTAAAGATGATCTGAAGAATAAAGGATAAAATTTCATAGAGTTAACATTTTGCACGAAAGGATGAGGCACTGCCAAAGGGATTTTTCTTGACTCTCTAAAAATCAGTGGTATATTAGAGGGTAAACAGACAATCCTAAGGCATTACTATCAGGGTGTGCTCATTACCAAAGGACCGCAATGGACAAAAACTCCTCATGTATTCAACCATCGTAAGCCAGTTTAGATACCCACGAGATAAGAAGCCAAGCAGCACAGGAGTCAAGGGACTTGCCAACTTAATGCTGTTTAATATTAATTAAACTTAGTATAGCTCAGTTATGTATTTTTCAGATGTTCCCAGGCAGAATACCAGAGAATAAGAAATAAATCTATATTCATATTATATGTATATTTAAATTATGTAATCACCAATGTGTTCATAATTATATATTCATATTATGTAATATATTATCATCTACTCTACATTTCTGAATATTTCTAGAATAATTGAATTGGAGGAGAATAGGAAGTCAATAATTTCCATGACGTCAGTTACCGAGGAAAATTCATTTGAGAATGTGCAAGTGTCATCATACAAATACACATTGTTAGTATACCATGAAGGAGGCTAGAATACTGCTATGTGCCTTGTACATTAAGTAGTCAGGGGTAGAAATAAGTAAAGCCACTTAGAATTTTGTGAGAAGACATGAGGAGATGACTACCCATCTGTATTTTAAAATATGTTTAAAAGTAACCAATACCATTGGACAATACAGTTATTGAGGGTGGTATTACCTTGGGAAGGAAGCCAGTAACACAAAAGAGAATAGAAGTCCTGAATAGAAACAGAATAGAATATTCAATGCGTCCGGACTTTGATGGCTTCCTCTTTAGGAAGATGATTACATATACATTATAGAACAAGTTTGGTCCTTCCTCATCTGATACAAGCATGTAATATTTCCCACAGTGCAAGAAACACCCACTTTCTGATGAGCAACCCAATTTATAGTATAGTTGGGTTTTTACGCATGTAGATGTTATGTCTTACTGAAATGTATGAAATTAAATTAACATTCCCAGCATTGGCGCTAATGTAGTAGACTTTAAGGTGGTTGCACACACAAGGGGTGAGGAGAAGAAACCAAGGTTAAAGAGACAGAGAGAGACTTTGCATCCAGCGTCCAAGTCATGCTCTGAATCTTAACCTAGAGAGCAGATTTCAGGAGATATAAAGTAAGGGTAAGTCTGAACTTTACAAGCCAGGATTGTCAATAAGTTCAGTGTAGAGTTTTGAAAATGTACAGTTTCTTTGGGCACCTGGTTGGCTCAGTCGATTGAGCGTCTGACTTTGGCTCAGGTCATGATCTTGCTGGGTTGGTGGGTTCGAGCCCTATGTCATTCTCTGTGCTGACAGCGTGGAGCCTGGAGCCTGCTTCTGATTCTGTGTCTCCCTCTCTCTTTCTGCCCCTCTCCTGCTTGCACTGTTTCTCTCAAAAATAAGTAAAATTAAAAAAATAGAAAATGTACAGTTTCTCAAGACCTGTTCCACGATTTCTGTACATCCCTCAGAATGTACATGCATAGAAACTCTCCAGGAATGATGCTGTTCCCATCTGGAATAATGGTGACTATGATGTTAACTGTCCCTCAGAAACAACTAAAACACTGGACAAAACATATGAAACAATAATTTTTAAATTTTTTAAAATGTTTTATTTATTTATGAGAGAGAGAGAGAAACAGCATGAGCAGGGGAGGGTCAGAGAGAGAGGGAGACACAGAATCCAAAACAGGCTCCAAGCTCTGAGCTGGCTGTCAGTACAGAGCCCGATGTGGGGGTCGAACCCACGAACCGTGAGATCATGACCTGAGCTGAAGTCAGACGCTTAACTGACTGAGCCACCCAGGCGCCCCCAGAAACAATAATTTTTAAGACATGGGACATCGCACAACAAAGGGCAATAATCCTTGAAAGACAGAAAACCAATGAAGTAAACTCTACGCTGCCCCCAGATTACTGCCTTGACAGAGTTTGCAAGTTCTATTGCTGGCAGAGGGCAACTGAGGCTGAACCTGCTGGTCTCCCTGTGTTGGGGGAATGGACGTGGGAGTCCAAGAAAACCAAAGTGGCTAGATTTGCATGAGTGGAGTACTGAAGAGAGAGCGAGCAGCATACACAGGGACCCCTGGAAAGCTTCAGAGCCTTCCCTCTCCAGGCTTCAGTTGAGGACTGATCAGAATATGCATGGAATAAAACTGCATGAGGGCAGAGAAAAATGCAAACATCAACTCTTGATAAAAAGCCATCAGCAGGGGAGTCTGGACAGCTCAGTCGCTTAAGCATCTGACTTTGGCTCAAAGTTTGTGAATTCAAACCCACATTGGTCCTGTCCTGACAGTTTGAGCCTGGAGCTTGCTTTGGATTCTGTGTCTCCCTCTTTCTCTGCCCCTCCCCTGCTCACATTCTCTCTCTCTCTCTCTTTCTCTCTCTGTCTCTCTCAAAAATAAACAAACATTAAAAAAAAAGCTGTCAACAAACTAGGAAAAGAAGATAACTTAACCCAATAAAGAGCATCTGTGGAAAATACCTTATAGTTAATATCGTGATGAAAGACAGAATTATTTTCCTTTGAAGGTCAGAACCAAGTCAGGGACATCTGCTCTCATCACTTCTATTCAACATTGTACTGGAGGTTCTAGCTAGTGCTATTAGGCAAGAAAAATAAAATAATTGCATCCAGATTGGAAATGGTGAAATAAACTTATTTTTACTTCTGGGTGGCTTTGTCTATGTAGAAAAATTGATGGGTACAAAACATATATTAGAACTAATGAGTTTAGCAAAGTTACAGGATATAAGAATATACAAAACTCAGTAGTATCTAAATATAGTAGCAACAAATATTGGTAATAGGAAATACTTAGGGATAGATCAAACAAAGAAAGGTAAAACCTGTATATTGAAAACCATAAAATATTGATGAGAGAAATTAAAGAAGACCTATGTAAGTGGAAAGATGTACTTTGTGGGTTGGAAGATTCAATATGTTAGATATCCGTTATCTCCAAATTTATCTGAAGACTCAACACAATCCCAATCAAAATTCCAGGCAGCTTTTTTG